CCCCAAAACCCCAAAACCCCAAAACCCCTCTTTGTTAATTTTGATACTTAGCAATTCAAATAAATATTAAACATCGTATCTAAATTTCAATAGTCCCATTCATTTTTATCCTAAAACCCACCATCGTTTTGATCCTTCATGGGAACGTTTGTACTGCTGCTTTATCTTCTTTCCGAAAATGGATTGATTTATGAATTGAGTGCTTAAGTTGTTTGATGAGAGCTCTAAGCTATCAATTAAGGGACTCCCAGCGTATTCTGCTTATTATTTGGAGTGCTTGAGCTATATTGTTTTATAGAAATATTTCTATTTATGTCATGATTTTTCTAGTTTATCTTTGCAGAAACGTAATTAGGTGTTTCAATAATAGAGCTTTCATTAAGTCTATATACAATAATAAGCAAATAATCCTTACATAAAATTCTAATTTGGACTGCCTACACTCTGGTTATTTGGACCCAATGGGTCATTCGTGTATTTCACTCCACCATTAGGATCCAACAGAATTTTTTATGATTAAATACTTATTGCATGAATTTCATTGCTTTTTATTCTCTTCAAAATCTTATCCGTGGGAGATGGCCAGAAGATTCTCTTAGTATAAGTAATTGCCAAATCTGGAATCAATAGACCGAAAGGAAGAACAAGCCAAATGTAGATATACTATATCATTAGGATAATAGTTGTTACATTAAAACCATAGAAGATTTAAAAGAATATCCCGTTAAGTTAATTCTAAAAAATTGTCGAAAATACATCTGTGCTTAGTACTAGAACTGTTATATAATAAACAATGAGACATGCTATGGCAGCGATACTATAATTTAGTTAAGAATAAAAGGTTTACATGCAAACAGAGTTCCAGAAATTTATTTCCAAAAAGAGCTTGTAAGTAACTAAATGTATAATGATTGTAAAGCATAAAGTAGAATGCATCCAATGATCTTGAACTCTAGCTGATCCAGTTTATGGTCCTTCCAATAACTAAAAATCATAAATCGCAGATATCAATACAAAAACAGTGACATAATAGCAAGCACCACCATGAACAAAACTCATTATGATCCATTTCCAGAATATCTTGAAATTAAAGTAAACTTTTCTTTGCCCTGCTTTGTAAAGAATAGGCTCCTTCATCGATATTCTATCATCCACGTCTCTCTCAAACATAAGTGCAAACAGGCAGAACCAAGAAGTAAAAAATGCGTTATATAGTGTTGAAAGCCAGTCAGCGAAGAAAATCTAACCTGAAAATCCATTCCAGTAAGCGAAATGAAGTTCTGTAGCAACTAGTAGAACATTTTTATAGAAGTAATAGCAAATCATCTTTGCTACTCTTATATATCCATTCCTCCCATGAACCATGAGTAACCTTTCAAGATATCTAAATTGCGAAATAGCATAATCAGCAGATCTGACAGCTTATGTCCCCTCTTTACCTCTAATACCTACCCCAATATGAGCTTCCATAATCATAGGAACATCATTTGCTCCATCTCCTATTGAAAGGCATATGAATTTTTTCTAATTTTTTGCCAAGCCTACAACATCTGCTTTCTGTTTTGGAGATACTCTGCAACATATAACTGATGAAGCTCTCATACCAAACTAGAAAAATTTGAGAGAGACTTACTCATTTTCTAGAGCATATATCAACGTCTAACCGTCTATGATGATCGCAAGCCTTTCTTCATATTCATCTTTAGAAAATGAATCTAATTTGGCATAAAAATCATCCTTAGAATTACTTGAAAGTATAATTTCTTTCATTCCCTGCTAAATTAATTTACAACTCTTTCCAATTTCTATTGCAGTTTCTTATTTATCGCCTGTTAGCACCCAAACTCTTATGTTTGCATTCATGATATTTTCAATTGTCTCAGCTACTCCTTCTTGAAGTTTGTCCTCTATAGCGCTACTACCTAAATATTTTAGACCATACTCCATTGAATCATAGAGTTCTAACAGTTTTTACTCTTTTTATGGATCTATTGAAGTCTTCAGAGCTGTATATTTTCTCATAAAATCTTCGTAATCTTTTAATTGAAGTTCTTTTGAAGAAAATACTAAGGTCCTCAAACCTTCAATAGCAAATTTATGTAGATCACTTTCAATACCCTTTTAAATTGGGTGATCAACATTCATCCTGGGAAGCATGATTGAGTCTGCTCCCTTTGTCATTAGATAATATTTATTGGATTCATGGTTTCTAACTATAAGACTCATTCTTTTGCGGGTAGAGTCAAATGGAAATTCTACTAAAGATTCATAGTTTTAAATTGGACCTCCGAATAATTAAATAGTGATTTGAGTAGTAGATCTTGCTATGAAGTTAATACCTACTTACTTAGCTCCTTAGACTAAAGCTAATTCATCAGGAGATGATGCTGAATATTTTAGTTTTTAAGGATTAAGGGGATCTATTTCAACCATGCATGTATGACAAACTGCTAGCATAGTGAAGAATTCTTACATTACAACTCCTATTTGATCTTATTTTTTCATATGAAATATCAATCTTTACTTTGCAGATTCCGCCATATCTTCAGAGCTCACATCGTCTTCTATTTCCGGATTACCAAAAGTTTAATTCATGACGCTACATTTCTTAAAAAGCATTTTGTTCTGAGTTAAAGTTCCTGTTTTATCGCTAAAAACAAAGTCAACTTGTCCTAACTCTTCGATTAAATCAGAATTTCTGCATAATGCAAAGTTTGTTGTTTCAATGTCATACATATTGACATCTTTTCCAATAATTTTAGCTTAACTCAATTTTAGCATTTCTATAATAACATATAATGAGATCGGAATCAAGTGAGAATAAGCAACCCAAAATGTTAAGAGCTGAATAAACCATTGTAAACCAGTTTCAGTGTTTGAGATATTTAGATATTATTTAGTTGAAAAGGCACTCTTTATATTTTGGTTTAATTTATGTTCAATTGTGCTCTGCCAATAGACACTTAATGAAGCATATATTATGATAATTATCAGTTGAAATGCGAAGACTGTGTATAGCATATAGTTCATTGTGGTCATGATATTCGACACTTTCTTTGGAGGTTTTTTTGCATTTTTCATAATTTTAGATTCTTTGCCAATATAGATTACTAATCCGACACAATAATCAATATTTCTTAAATAACAACCTCTTAACAGCAGATTCTTGATGCTAAAAATAGTAAAAATATTTATCTTAATCTTACTTGCAATTTAAAACTGTTCCATTAATATGAATATTGCCATCCCACTCATCAAGACTAGCATTAGGGAGATCACATACAACGTGTCCTCCTAATTCCTTATCAATCCTTTGAATATTATAATCTTTAGCAAATACGTATTTTTCTTTTAAGTTAGTTTCACCATCTAAATTCATTGTGTCAACATATACTATCTCTTTATTTTGACATGCATGGAGCAGTAAAATATCAGCTGGGAATTCTGTATCCTTCTAGATCATAACTATATCACCCATTTAAACCTCTCTCCACTAGCAGTCACTAAAATTTTAAGTTCCTGGCTTGAGAACATGAGCTTTTCTAGTGTTCAATTCCTTGTCAGATTTGTAACGCTAAATATCCTATAATTGTTTTTAATTATATTATAGATCTTTATGGATATTCTTACTTCATAACCTTCTTTCAGCATTGTAAAAATCAACACTCCTGCAAATGTCCCTATCATAGAAGCGGGTGTTTTAGGTGAAAATGAAAAGCATGTCAAAATCGAAATGATCAAGAAGTAGATGTTGGCAGCTCTGGTGAACTGAAATAGCAGTGATAATGGAGCCCATGTAAGGGCAGTATACTTTGTAGTTCTAACTGAGTTAGTTTTCTTTAGTTGCTCTTTAGGTTTGTTACTCCCTGAACCAAATATTATTTCCATTTTAGTTGCTGCAGAGTGATGGCTCCCAGAGCCGTTTTGATTGATATTATTTTTTTTTTGGACCTCAATTAAATTTGGTAATTCTTAATCTATATTTAGAATTATTGAGAAATTTAAGCAATAGGGTAATGATTTTTTAGTAAGAGAGATGAAACTATAACTTACTGACTAAGACTTCAGAAGCATTTTTTTGCTAAGCGAATGAAGAATGCATGTTACTTTTTGCTAATTCAGATGGTGACTTGTAGCTTTAGTCGTAACCTATTGAATCGTTACTATTATTATTAAGGGATGAATAACCTAAAGCTGATTAAGGCAAGGTCATCGGTGAATTCAGTCCTCTATTAACATTTTAGTCTTTACCTGAATTACTTATCTTCATTAAATATTAATAAAAATTTAATAATAATACGATACTAAAAATAATTTGATTCTATCTGCAATTAACTGCTTCTAACTCATGGGGTTTTGGGGTTTTGGGGTTTTGGGGTTTTGGGG